GCCGAGCGCTAAGACGATCGGTCGACTAGGGGTCAGACTAGATTAGGACGCTGATTTCTGAAAAGAAAACGCGTGTCTAGCCCCCCGAAGCTGGGCGCTAAGACGATCGGTCGATTAGGGATCGGACTAGATTAGGACGCTGATTTCTGGAGAAAAAATGCGTGTATAGCCCGCCGAGGCCGAGCGGTAAGACGATCGGTCGACTAGGGGTCGGACTAGATTATGACGCTGGTTTCTGAAAAGAAAACGCGTGTCTAGCCCCCCGAGGCCGAGCACTAAGACAATCGGTCGATTAGGGGTCGGACTAGATTAGGACGCTGATTTCTGAAAAGAAAACGCGTGCCTAGCCCCCCGAGGCCGAGCGCTAAGACGATCGGTCGATTAGGGGTCGGACTAGATTAGGACGCTGATTTCTAGAGAGAAAACCCATGTCTAGCCCCCCGAGGCCGAGCGCTAAGACGATCGGTAAGTTTAAGCGACATTGTGGTCATTCGGGCAATAAAGCCGGAAGTTTAAGCGACATTGTGGTCGTTCGGGCAACAAGGCCGCAAGTTTAAGCGACATTGTGGTCATTCGGGCAACAAGGCCGCAAGTTTAAGCGACATTGTGGTCGTTCGGGCAACAAGGCCGCAAGTTTAAGCGACATATTGGTCGTTCGGGCAACAAGGCCGCAAGTTTAAGCGACATTGTGGTCGTTCGGGCAACAAGGCCGCAAGTTTAAGCGACATTGTGGTCGTTTGGGCCCAAGGGTACGTCGTTGACGCTACCGACGGCGGTCCTGGGGCGATTTTGCTTTTGCGATCGGGCTCGAACGTGGCCTTTTGAACGAAATTGCAATTTACATGAAAAAAAAACGAGGTTGCACCTCCTATTACAGACATTAGAAGCGGGAAGTTACAACTTTGCCGACCAGGTACATACGATGCCAAAATAGGAAATTACATCCCGGTCGGTAATCATAATGCTAAATGGAAAATACGAATTCTTACAGACATTCTAAGCGGTGATTACTACTGCGACTCTACTGTCGGAACAATACTAAGTTCTCTGAGTTCCAAGTCCGGTCAACCGGGCGGCCGGTGGTTGTTTCGAGCTTGTAGGTCCCCGGGTGTATCACGGCCGAAACAACGTAAAGGCCATCCCAGTTTTGTGCTAGTTTTCCTCCCTCTTGGGGTTGGCTGGCTTCGCGCCTCCTCAAGACATAATCGCTGACTTGGAAGTAACGGGGCCGGACCCGAACGTCACGACTTACCTTTACTTTTTTCTGATATTCTGCAACTCTTCGGGTGGCGAGCTCTCTTTTTTCTTCCACACAATCAAGATCCAACATTCGGGCCATATCATTCTCTTCTTCTTGGTACTCTTTCTCCCTCGAGGTTGGGATCCATGCCTCGATCGGTAGCCGGGCCTCTGCTCCATAAACCAGGGCGAAAGGCGTTTCGCCCGTCGCTTCTCTAGAGGTGGTTCGGTATGTCCATAAGATGAACGGGAGTTCATCTGCCCATGATCGGCCTGACGAATAGAGCTTTTTCTTGAGGCCGTCTAGGATAGTTCGGTTAGCGTTTTCGACCTGACCGTTCCCCTGGGGGTAGGCCACCGACGAGCGGATGGACTTGGTTCCAACTGTGGCCAAGAAATCTTGGAACCATCGTCCTTCAAATTGTTTTCCATTGTCTGTGATGAGTTGGACGGGTACCCCAAACCGCGATACTACGTTTCGCCAAAGAAACCGGGCGCACTGCTGGGACGTGATGGTGGCTAGGGGCTCTGCCTCGACTCCACTTGGAAAAGTAGTCGATGGCGACTATGATAAACTTTCGCCGGCCCAAGAGCTAGGGAAACGGTCCGATGATGTCCACCCCCCACCTTGCGAAGAGAATCGCCGTGCTGATCGGTTGGTAAAAGGTGGCTGGACGACCAGGCATTTTGGCGAATACTTGGCACGTTTCGCATTCCCTCGTCAGTTTCTCACAATCAAGTCGCATGGACGGCCAATAGTACCCGATCAACATGATCCGCCGAGAGAGCGATCATCCTCCTTGATGTGACAAACAAAGTCCCGAATGTAATTCGTCCATGACGAGTTTGGCTTCGAAATAAGACAAGCACCTCATGAGTGGCCCCCCGTACGACCGTCGGTAAAGGCAACATTCTTTCACTTGGAACCTTGGTGCTCGGAGCTTTGCTTTCCGCGCTCTCGCTTCATCTTGTGGCAATCTGCCATCCTCTAAATAAGCCATGATGTCGGTTATCCAGTTCTCCTCGACCGGCTGGATTGGCATGACCCGGTGGTGATCGATGGATGGAAAAGGTATGACCAGGACACGGGCAACCTTGGAGATGTGTTCTGGGGCTTCCAAGCTTAACTTCGAGAGGATATCCGCATCGGCATTATCCAGCCGGGGAACATGTCTCACCGTGTACGCTCTGAAGGTGCCCCGTCATTCAAGCGCTAAATCCCGGTAGCGGCCCAGGCGTTCGCCGTTGACTTCAAAGTCACCCAAGACCTGCCCTACGACCAAGGACGAGTCCGTCCGGACTTGTATATACTCCGCTCCCAGGTCCTTTGCGTGTTGTAACCCTGCAATGAAAGCCTCATACTCCGCCTCATTGTTGGTCGGGGAGAACTGATAGATCAAAGCATAGTACACCTTAAATTCTTCAGGGCTCGTAACCACGACTCCTCCTCCCGAACCCTTTCTGTTACTCGAGCCGTCGGTAGCGACTTCCCACCATGACGCGTCTGCTGCTGTCTGATCCATGGTTGGGGTCTCGCGAGTGGTGCATTCGACGACGAAGTCTGCCAGTGCATGTCCTTTAATGGCTGGTCGAGGCTTGTACTCGATCGCAAACTGTCTAAGCATCATTGCCCACTTGATGAGGCACCCGGAGGAGGTAGCTGTACGGAGGACGGCTCCAATCGGCTGGTCGGTCAACACGCGGATGACCCGCCCCTGAAAATATGGAGTAAGCTTCTTCAACGTCACATACACGGCAAGGACCATCTTTTCTAGTCGGGAATATCTGAGCACCGGGCCTTGGAGAGCATGGCTAACGTAATAGACGGGTTGTTGCACACCCTCATGGTCGGTGCGGCATTGCACGGCACTGACGGCACAGTCCGACACGGCGAGATAGACGTCTAAATCCTCGCTCGGCTCGGGTTTGGAGAGGACGATCGGGGACATTTGATATTCCTTCAACTCTGCGAACGCCGCCTGGCACTCCTCGTCCCACGTGAAACCGTTGATCTTCCTCAGGGTTTTGAAGAAAGGTAACGCCTTTTCTGCTAACTTGGATAGAAACTGGCTGAGAGCCGCTAAACGTCCGATCAGCTGTTGGACTTCCCGGACAGTGGCGGGCGGCTGCATCTCTATGATAGCTTTTACTTTGGTTGGGTTAGGCTCAATTAGGTTTTGTCATCATAAAACCTAATAAATTTCCCGGTTTTTACCGCGAACGTACACTTCGCCGGGTTCAAATGCAAACGGTATGTGCGCATTACTTCGAAGCATGCTCGGAGATCTTGCGCGTGGTCAGACCGATCCATACTCTTGACAAGCATATCGTCAACATATGCTTCCATTGTTCGGCCTAGCAGTCCCTCGAACAGCGTATTGACCATCCTTTGATATGTCGCCCTGGCGTTCCTAATTCCGAATGGCATGACCCGGTAACAGAAAAGGCCATCCGGGGTGACGAAGGATGTCTTGGTTTCATCTTCTTCAGCCATCACGATCTGGTGGTAACCTCTAAAGGCGTCCATAAAACTCATGAGGTCGGCCCCCGCAATGTCGTCTACCATCTGGTGTATGCTCGGGAGAGGATACGGGTCCAACGGGCAAGTCCTATTTAAGTCTGTGTAGTCGATACACATTCGCCAGGTTGGCGGCTTGGGCACTAGGATCACGTTTGCGACCCAGTCGGGATACGTGACCGGGCGTATGTGACCGATCCCAGCGAGGGTCTTGACCTCTCTCTTGACAAATTCTCGACGGTCATTAGAGAGGTGTCTAGTCTTTTGCTTTACCGGTCGAGCTGTCGGGCTGACAGCTAATTGATGGCACACCACCGACCGGTCTATCCCGGGCATATCCTCCGGCCCCCACGCAAAGATATCCGAGAATTCTCTCAATACTGTCATGATAGCGTCTTTGAGTGATGGGGAGAGTCCTCGGCCAACTCTGACCATCCTGTCCGGTCGACCGACCTCTATCGGTATTTCCTCCACCTCGTCGGAGGGTTCGGGTAGTTCCTTCCTTTCGGCTTCTGCTCTCTTGGAGATGGAGTTCACTTAGGAATTTTAGGCTTCCTTCCGATCCACCGCTTTATGGTAACACTTCCTGGCTGACTGAACATCACCCCGAACGACGCCAACTCCCTCCGGGGTTGGGAACTTCATGCACAGATGGGGCATGGAAATGATTCCTCCAATCGAAACAGTTGTCGGTCGCCCTAGGATGGCGTTATGGACGCATTGCAGGTTAACGACGATAAATTCCATCACGGTTTTTACAACCCGAGAGAGACTGCCGATCTCTACTGGTAGTGCTATCTTTCCTTCAGGATGGATGGTGTCGCCAGTAAAACCAGACAGAGGGATTCCGATCGGGGTAAGCTCGATCAGGTCAAGCTTGAGTTTTTGAAAAACATCTATATACAAGACGTTCACACAACTGCCCGTGTCTATCATGACCTGGTGCACATCCGTTCCCATGATATCGATCGTGACCACCAACGCCTCTGCTTTTTCTCCCCGGTTTCTGACCCTATGAGTCCGACCGGGAGTCGTTCTCGGGACCCCAGACCTCCGTCGGGGCCCCTGAATATGACATGAATGACCTACTTTCCTGATGGCGTGTGTGGATCGGGATTCCGATCGTGGTCCTTATCCATCTTGTTCTTATTCGATTTTTTGAAGGAGTTCTTCCAGGAAGATTTCTTTTCTTCCTTCTTTGCGGTAAACTCAGTGAGTTTGCCTGATTGTAGCAAATCCTCTATCACTTGTCGTAGGGTGGTGCAATCCTCTGTTTCGTGTCCCTTACTGCGATGATAGACGTAATACTTTGCTTATCACGACCCTCTCTCTGAGGCTCCGAAAGCGAGATCATATTGCACGATTGTGTAAACCGGAGGACGTCAACTGCTGGTCTGTTTAACGGCGTGAAGTCGGGCAACATACCCCGACCTCTGCCGGATCTATCATTCTGCCGACCTCCTTCCTGACGGCCCTGCGGCTTTCTGCTACCCCCGGCCTCCTGCTGCCGTTTAGCCAAGTTCAATTTGCCAGCATTGGCATAGTCGGTGACCCGACAGATGGCTTCGTCATATGTGGTCGGTGGGTGCAGGAAGAATTCTTGGTACAAGGCTCCCGCTCGTAGGTTGGAGTGGAGTACATTTATCGCCGTACGGTCGTCCAGCGGCTCAACTTTCCCGATCCCAGCCTTCCACTTAACTAAGAAGTCTATCAAAGATTCGCCTTCCAGCTGCTTAGCCTTCTCAAGGTACGTGAAGTGCTTTCGCACCTCCTTAGACGTCGCGAACTTGTGCACGAATTTCTTCGCGAATTCGGCAAAGCATGCGATCGATCCGGGTTCCAGTGTTTTAAACCAATCTGCCGCCCTCCCGGTCAAGGTCGAATAGAAGGCCCGACACATTACTGCATCGGTCACTCCCATCATCAGCATGTTACCGTAGTAGGAGTTGATGTGGGCTTCCGGGTCGGTCTTCCCGTCGTAACCCTTGTTCCCCGGGATGCGCAAGTCATGGGGTTACGGCAGGCTCATAATGTCAGCTGTGAACGGATTGCGTAATAGTGGTGCTTCGGGTTCAGCCGACCGATGGCCGTGCTCTTGTTTCCACTTGTTGAATTCTTCCGGGACTTGACGTAGCAATCCTTTTGCTTCGTTCTGTGGATCATCACGGTCAACAGCTCGTCTTGCCAGCCTTCTGGATCTGCAACTACTGGCCTCGCCCGACCCCTCTCTTTGGCCGGTAAGCGGGGCGTTTACAGATTCCTCCATCACCTGTCGGGCTCCGACCCGGTGGTGTACTAACAGTTGAAGGCGTACGAACGCGCTGGTTCTCGCAGGGAATTCCTTAGCCCTCTGCTCGGGTGCGCCCGCCGGTCCAAGCCTTGAACGGGCGTGGCATCACTCGAATTGGGCGCGGCAGAGCTCGGGGGCCGCCGCCGACGCTGATGCCTCTGACTGGTTGTGTTCGGGCGTATTCGGTACTGGCATCGGCACGTACGGTTGCTATGGGCCCGATGCCGCGAGGTACTGATATTGAGCTCCGAAGAACCGTTGGGGGCTTTGCCAGTACGGGAAGGTTGGGTCAAATATCCCAGCGGGGTACACCGGGTACTGGAATGGCATCTGTCCCGCCATGGCCGGGAATGCCAGCCCTGGTTGCATGAAGTTGACAGGATCCGGAGTCGGTCCCCTTCCCGGTGGTGTATTGAGATCCACTCGTGGATTCATCTGTAAGCGGAGGTCAGAAGTGCTCTCCTCAGCTTCCGCATCGTTGTGGAAATCCATGAATGGAAACATATTCAAAGGGATCGGTTTTACTGTTGCCGGGTGACTTTCAGTTCGATCCCCATGGACGGCGCCAAAATGATATAGTATATACCGGTTACAGTACGTATACAGACTAGGGGTTAACTCTCGGGTTCCTAACGTGTGGTCGGGAAGCTCCGGCTTAACCTCTTCGCCAAAAGTCCCTTTCAAGCTGCATTTAATGCGCTTTATATAGGGGGGGTAGAAGGCATCTCGGGGCTCTCGGCATGGCGGGCTTGCACCGGACACTGGTGGGGCCGAAAGCTGGCCGCCACGCGGCGCCCAAAGCCTGACATTTTATGGGTTTAAGGGCCAATAACCAGACCGGATCCGACCGACACGGACCGATCGGTCGGGTCGAGCATTGACCTGCGCCCAGGAAGGGGCACGGTCGGGACGAGCGCCCTTGGTCGGCCCGTCGGACGGTCGCGCGGGGCCAGGTGTGCGCGTTTTACCCGAACCCGGGCGTACAGCCGATTGCCAGTTGCATGGCCCGGAGCCCGGGGGTATATCCCTATCAAAATATATATATATATATATATATATATATATATATATATATATATATATATATATATATATATATATATATATATAATATGGTTGAGAGTTTATTAAAAATCTAAGGGTCAATTTTATAATTATTACAAACTCTTTTTTTTTTTTTTGAATGTAATTATTACAAACTCTTAAATTTGTAATATTTTTAAAATGAGCTTCGCCCCTTTTCAATTTATTTTTCAACTAATTAACGTCAACAATTGATCTACCCAAATGGATGGATCAGATCAGTCATAAGTTTTTACATGAGAACATGTTCTCCCATGCATCCTTACATGCGAAAGTGCACTGCACTTAGAGTTTGGATGTTAGAATGTATGACTGAGTGATTTTTGCTTTACATGGTTTAGGGGTTCACTTTTTACTGCTTATGGTTTATGACTTACGATTTCGATTTAAAATTTAGCTTTTTATTGATTTTTAAAAGTTATCTAGGAATAGACTTTTAGTTGTTATAAAGTGCATAATATATTGTTTTAAGTTGCAAAGTGAAGTTGATGACAATATTTAAAGTTGCTGCAGTTCTTTATCACTTATGGAGTGCGAGAAACACGGCAGTCTGGGAGGCCTATTTACGTATGCCGAATCACGTATGGAGAGCTGCTATGGCGACGGTAACGGCGTGGACTTCAGCGGGCCAGCATGCCACGGCTCCATCACAGCAACAGCAGCACCCCCCAACCATTACAGGACTACGTTGCTTCTTCGATGCCTCATACGATCCAGATTCAGGAGCAGCGACGTGCGGAGCAGTGTTGCTAGCGGATGGGGACGCTTTCGTAGCAGCTATGAACGGTGTACTACCAAGCTGTGAAAATGCTCTTACCGCTGAGGCACTGGCCTGTAAGGAAGCGTTGTCTTGGCTCAAGGCTCCTGACATTACGGCTGTTACACTTTTCACGGACTGTGCAATCCTACAGAGTTACATTACCAAGCTAACCTCTACTCTTTGATCATATGTTGGCGTTGTGATTGATGACTGCAGAGCTACCATGGCTACTTTTTCTAGTAGTACTATATTCTTAGTACCTAGGAATTTAAACGTTATTGCTCATAATTTAGCTTCGACCATATCGGCTCAGGCCACGATGTATTGGGATTCTGTCCCACCTGACTTTATTTTGCCGCATCTTTAGTAATAATATTGCTCGATGTTTTGCTTTCAAAAAAAAAATGTTCATTCTTGAAAACTTTTAAGAAGTGCAAATTTGAGTGTTCAAATTTGCATAGTAAAGTTGGTGTAGATTTTCTAAACACGTGGTGCATTTATGCATACCAAATGGTGCATAACCGCACGTCCCAGAGTTGTGTATTTTATGGTGAATTTGTGCATTTCATCCCGGTGCATTTTTAAACATTTTGTGGTGCATTTGTGCATACCAAATTGTGCAATCCACACCGCCAGACGAGATTAGGGCGCTGCATTTGAACTAGTATAAAAAAAACATAATAAGTGTGAATGAATCTTATACCCTTCATTTATGTCCGTTTTATTGTTACATTTTTTTATACATTATGTGATAAAAGGTGTATGTACTATACAATATTTTGGACAAACATACCCCTACCGTTATAATTTTCGTTATCTTTTCCACTATTGTTACCATGCACATGCATCCACCATATATTTTTTTTATTTTCTTCAATAATAATAATATATAAACATTATATATTGAAATTATATGTTAGTTATTTCCTAAAATATAAATATCAAACTTATCAAAGTGTTTTACATTTGTATTATTATTATTTTTTTTGGTGTAAACCACGAGGTGGTTCGGATTTTTCGTTGTCCGTTTAACGGTCCAGATACACCCGATTAATGGCCCAAGGGAAATCGTCACTTGTGGTAATCGAACTCCAATTATCCCCTCCCTCACAAGGAGAGCTCATTTGCCATTTGAACTACCCGTTGGGTTATTATTATTATTATTATTATTATAGTGTGTGTGTGTCTATATATATATATATATATATATATATATATATATATATATATATATATATATATATATATATATATATATATAAAAGAACATTCATATGTGGTTATGTCATTAGGTGTGGCGGTGTGGTCGTATCTGTGTTATTGAATAACTTTAATCTAACGGCAGTGACTAATTCTGAGGATTTTCGCGCATTTTGGTAAGTGGGGTGTTATGGTAAATACAGTGGCTATTTTTATAGCGGCCGGGTTCCAGAATACACTAACAGTGTTGACAGCATGCACTAATAGTGTAATAAAGCACACCACGGTGAAACACATCAATAGTGTATTCCCGAACACTGTATGGTGTATTTATTCATATTTAATTGCGCATTTTTGGTGATGCATACTTAATTTGTGTATTTTTTTGCTGTGCATTTCATAACATGAATGGTATATATTTGTATAACAATTGGTGCGGCTGCACTAACCACACGGGAAGACGTTGCCGCACCTGTACTTGGCCCCAATGGGAATCTACAAATACACCAGAGTAAGGATAATAATGCACCAATTACACAAATAAAACACACAACAATATGATTTCCCTTATTCCGGTGCCCTATGACGAGTTTATCCTTGCAGTTCGCTGGGTAGGAGAACGTACGCGAAAATACTGGAAGAATCTTGATTAATGTGATTCATTGGTTTTATCAAATCTAATGGTCTGTAATTGACCATATGACCATACCTAACAACATGGCTGCACTTAATCGTCCTTTTATATATATATATATATATATATATATATATATATATATATATATATATATATATATATATATATATATATATACTGTGTGGCGGTGGAAGTTGTTTATGAAAGAGTGATTATTGATGGAGAAGCTGCCACCGCCTGATTTATACAACTTGTGATGAGCGTTATAACAGCTAACTAGTTCTTTGATATATTCCACATTCCATTTATGAAACCTGTAAAATCCCCCTAGGTCCCTAAGTTATATAGACATTTACAAAATATATGAAATAAACTTATTTTATGAATAATTCAAGTAGCCTAGGCAAGCTAAAAGGAGAGGTCCACATGACCACATGCATGACCGCATGGATTCAAAGGTTCAAAACTTCAAGTCGCCTTGACAGGATCCCATTAGAATCACTAAGAATTGTAAACAAATTTCATTCATCTATCTAAGATACATGATCAATGGCAGAAAATTAAAGAAAAATACTATAACATTTTTGTTATTACGAGTGTTCATCTTGTAATCGATAATTGTGCATTTGTGGATAATTACTAATTGTACATCTGGAAACATTCTTCAAACATAATGTCAAGTAATTTCTTAAAAAATACGATGATGTTTCTATAATTACTTCTTTAATTACAATTGTGTATCTTGTAATACTTGATTATTATGTATTTATGGATAACTTTTCTCCAACCACTAGTACAAAAAAGAACATAAGAGACTGAATTTTCGCTATCCGATCCTTCTTAAAGGAAGGGTTGTATATTCTTAAAAAAAATATTGCCAGTGACAATTCCGTAAAGGAATAAGGGTCAAATAGGCTACTGAACTGCACACCAAACTACAATTAAGCCATCGAACTCAAAAAAGATACAATTAGATCCCTGAACAACAAAAATTAATGCAATTAGGTCTAAAATAACATGTTTACCTGCCATGTAGGTTGCGAATTTTTAAAATAATTTTAAACAAAAATTTTTTTTTTTTAAAAAAAAAGAAAACCTTCGTCTCCATGGCCAGGAGACGAAGGTCCGATCCCTTCGTCTCCTTGGCCATGGAGACGAAGGGCGGCTGGAGACGAAGCCGTTCTTTTTTTTTTAATTATAATTTTTTAATTAATTTTTTGTTTAAAATCATTTTTAAAATTATTTTGAAAATCCGCAACCACCACGTCAGCAAAATATCAGGTAAACAGGTCATTTTAGACTTAATTCCATGAATTTGTGTAGTTCAGGAACCCAATTACATTTTTTTTTAGTTCGTTGGCCTAATTGCAACTTAATGTGCAGTTCAGTGACCTATTTGACCTTTATTTCTTCCGTAAATAATTGATTAACCACGTCTTTGTTAATTAAAAGGGACGCGGTTTTAAAAGAAAAAAACCCTTTTACATTTTGTGACCATTCCTCGTAGAAAGTGCGTATTAAAAAAATTAAAAAAAAAAAAAAAAAAAAAAAAAAAAGAAAAAAGGTAAGACTTTCTTCAACTGTTTCTACTAGAAACAGTCGCAAGAAGTTAGCCTTAAAAAATAATTCTTTTGCTTTCTGCTACCATTTCTCTTAGAAATAGTAGCATAAAGTAGGACCAAAACCTTAAGTTTTTCATCAAATCTCTTATCTTCTACCTTACACTACAAATCAAAATCTAACCTCTCATTTACTTTTCTCTTTTACTTTTTTTTTCCTCTCTCTCTACGACATACTCAACTCCTCAGGCAACCTTCTTGTTCGATAATATAAGCAACGTCAACACAAGGGCTGACAACCTTTTAGGAAAGAAGGACAAATTCAGGTGTATGACTGTAAGGGAGTTTGTGCTGTATTATAATAACATTACCTTAAAAGTGTTATTTGTCCAGTGACAATGCAGTCAAAATAAACTGGTACACTGTCAATAGGCAACACAGAATAACCACGTTAAGCTTGCAGCAGCTTAAACGTAGACGAACCTGTCTATTGCTCAGATTCAGGGATATAAAAGCGATATGAGAGAAAAGGCTCTGTAGAGAATTGCTGCACTTGAAAATGGAAGTGAAGGCTACTTATATACTATTTAATATAACATCTTCCCTTCCTCCAGCCACAGATTAAATGCAAAATAAGGGGAAGAGTTTTGAATGTGTGGGCATGGGCAACCGATTGCATGACCATTACTACGAAGGGAAAATGTGGACCAAAATTATAGCTTTTTCCCATTAAGGGTCCGTTTGGAAAGCAGGAAAATGACTTCTGGAGAATGTTTTCTGGAAAATGAGTCATTTTCCGGAAAATATTTTCCTTTCCAGTGTTTGGTTGCATTTTGGAAAACTGTTTTTGTGTGTTTGGTTCATTTTCTGGAAAATGAGTAGAATTGTATAATTAAATATTTTAATTATTTTATTTAGAATATTACAACATGTATAATAATATAATAATAATTTTAAATATAATAAAAAATAACTAATAATATATCAAAAATATTGTGGTGGTGGTGGTGGTGGTGTTATTTGTTATATAATAATAATAATAATAATAATAATAATAATAATAATAATAATAATAATAATAATAATAATAACTGGTGGTGGTATGACGGTGGTAGCAGTGGTGGTGGTGGTGATGGTGTGGTTGCGGTGGTATGGTGGTGGTGGTGGCGGCGACGATGGTGGTTGCGGTAGTATGGTGGTGGTGGCGGCGGCAGTGGTTGCGGTGGTATGGTGGTGGTGGTGGCGGCGACGATGGTGGTTGCGGTAGTATAGTGGTGGCGGCGGCGGCGGTGGTTGCTGTGGTATGGTGGTGGTGGCGGGGGCGGTGGTATGGTCGTGGTGGTGGCGGCGTCGGTGGTGTGATGGTGGTGGTGGTTGCGGTGGTATGGTGGTGGTGGTGGTGGCAGTGGCGGTGGTATGGTGGTGGTGGTGGCGGCGACGGTGGTTGTAGTGGTATGGTGGTGGTGGCGGTGGTAGTGGTGGTGGTGTGATGGTGGTGGTGGTGTGGTTGCGGTGGTATGGTGGTGGTGGCGACGGCGGTGGTGTGATGGTGGTGGTGGCGGTGGTATGGTGGTGGTGGCGGTGGTGGTGGCGGCGACGACGGTGGTTGCGGTGGTATGGTGGTGGTAGTGGCGGCGACGGTGGTGGTGGTGGTAGTGGTGGTGGTGTGATGGTGGTGGTGTGGTGGCGGTGGTATGGTGGTGGTGGCGGTGGTTGCGGTGGTATGGTGGTGGTGGCGGCGACGACGGTGGTTGAGGTGTTATGGTGGTGGTGGCGGCGGCGGCGGCGATAGTGGTAGTGGTGGTGGTGGCGGCGACGGTGGTTGCGGTGGTATGGTGGTGGTAGTGATGGTGGTGGTAGTGGTGACGACGATGGTGGTAGTGATGGTGGTGTGGTGGCGGTGCTATGGTGGTGGTGGTGGCGGCAACGATGGTTGCGGTGGTACGGTGGTGGTGGTGGTAGTGGCAGCGGTGGTGGTGGTGGTGGTATGATGTTGATGGTGGTAGTGGTGGTGGTGTGGTGGCGGTGGTGGCGGTGATATAGTGGTGGTGGTGGTGGTAGTGGTAGCGGTGATATAGTGGTGGTGGTGGTGGTAGTGGTAGCGGTGGTGGTGGTGGTGGTATGATGTTGATGGTGGTAGTGGTGGTGGTGTGGTGGCGGTGGTGGCGGTGATATAGTGGTGGTGGCGGCGGCAGTAGTGGTGGTGATGGTGGTGGTATAATGTTGATGATGTTGGTGTAAAAGTTGGAAAATGACTTCCCCCCAAAAAAAAGGGGAAGTCATTTTCCTCCAAAACAAGCTTATTTTCCAAAGTCAATGGAAAATGATTTCCGTTGACTTGATTTTCCAAGCACATCCCAACAATGAAAACTTGGAAAATGATTTCCAGAACTCATTTTCCAGGTTTCCAAACACACCCTAAATGAATTTTCCAACATAGGCGTATGAAGAATAGGAAACCTTTTCTCCTTTGAATGTATCGCCAACAATCCCCCATTAAGATTAGTTTTGAAATTTGAAAAACTAGTGTTAATATTTATTCTTTAATTCATGATTTTGAATTTTGTTCTCATTCCTCAAATTTTGAAATGTTAAGTTAATAGTAAAATGAATATAAGTTATAAAAATGTTGCCAAAAAATAATTGATAATTTTTATTTGATAAAATTGTGACAAACAAGATTATTATTGTATATATTTTGTATCATGTGAAAATTATGTAATACCGATTAATATGGATATCAATTGTTACATAAAGTATCATTAAAATTTATTATCAATAATACATAATATAATTATGTATAGTATATATAATATGATATCATGTATAATCCGTAGTCATGTTGATTGACATTTTAATTTTTTGCTATAATTCTGGCCACCCAACAAAAATTTTCTTGACTCCTACCAAAAGACATCCTACCAAAATCTTACATTTTATTAGTTCAAGATAGACTATCATTTTATAATAAAGCTTCAATACAAAATATACATATCATCCCCATCACCAACAATACAGTCCTATATTTCTTCACATGCAAGAACTAGCAAAAGCATTCGAACAGCAGGAAGACATACATATTCACATATCGATTATTTCTAGCTTGAAATTGAAACATCAAACCACATAATATAAACAAGATGCTAATAATCCTTAAACAAATTTGCTTAGTTACGTTATCCTCATTCGATGAAGAACGGACTTGCCATCTAGTTTGCGTGAGAAGAATTCTTTCACATATTCCTCCATTTTCATTCTCTTGAAAGCTGGTGGGTTTTGGTGGTTTGTTAAGCAGGGTGAGGGTCCAATCTCAGCCTCCATCTTTGGGTTAAAAAACATGGCGATGGAGATCCTTTCTTTAATCAAATTCACCATCACTCTATGCTCAATGCTTTTATATAAACCGTTGCTGAATATCTGCACACATATAACCAAACCTCTATATCACACAAAGATTAATATTAATATTCAACGTTGCTCCCGTACGAGTTTAGCTTACAGATTCAATAGTCAATATTTAGGAGAAGGGGAAAAGATTCGACGTCCTATCCTATACATATATGGAATATTTATAATAATTAGTAGTATATAGTATATGATTGAGTTAGCACATTTATATATATATGATTCGTAGATCATTCAATTTTTAAGATATTTGATCACCTAAAATGAATTGGTTATCTTAATGGATAGCCATTGATCAATCCATAAAAACTTGAGAATCTTCATTGATGGCGGATTGATTTTATTTTTCCAGAAATCATATTTGCCGCCAAAAATTATTTCTTGGTGCAGTAGAATATTATATTAGTAAACTTTCGTGAAATTAACAACAACAATAACAACAACCATAACAATAATAATAATCATCCATCAACAACAACAAAATAACCGGACTAGCCTAGTCCAGTATAATAACCAAATATATAGCAGACCAACACACCCATTTGAGACCACTCAAATAAATAGAGAACTGAGCATGCATTGAGATAGAAATTCAAAAATATCCTTCAAATAACAATTTCATATGACATTTTTGATAAAATGAGTCAATTTTTATTTTCTATTAGTAGCCAAATATTTAAAAATCCAAAAGATCACTTCACTAAAGGAGTGTTTGATAAATGACTGTTAGCTAATTGTATTAGTGGGTTTGACTAAACTAGTTGATATTATTAGCTAATTGTAAAAAAGTGTTTGGTAATTAGCTGTTAGTTGTTAGCTGATTCCATACAAAATAACTGTCTAAAAAAGTTGATCGAAAAAGCTACTTTGAACAGCTTTTGAATTTTAGCATTTTGGAGCAATAAGTTGTTACAAAAAGAATCAAACACTCATATTGATTGTTTAACCAAGTCAAACAGTTAATAGTAGTCAAATAAGTTAAAATTAAGTGATATTCTAATTATTTTACCAAACAGGACCTAAGTCATTTTCAAGATTTTGTAAACCTACCCTTAATTGAAGACTTGCCTATTCGAAAGCTGAAAAGTGCAAACAATTAGATCAATAAATTAATGATATAACAAAAAACAAATAAGTGTAAAGAAGTATAGAAAACCTCTAGAATGTCTCCAATATTGACAACAAAGGCATCAGGGTGGAGCTCCACCGGGATCCAATTCCCATCGTCAGTTTTGACCTGCAACCCATCAACGCCGTTAACCTGGTGGAGGATGGTGATCAAGGTGGCATCGGAGTGCGGCGTAATTCCGGTCACCAGCTCCGGTTTAGGACACGGCGGATAATAAGTCATCCTCATGGATTGCATCCCATCCTCTGCCATATCTTCCATTTCTGTCTTGCCAATCTTTAATGTTTGAGCAATAAACCCTAGAAGTGTTCTTGAAAGATCTTGCAATTGCAAGATGTAAGCTTCTAGGGCCTCCCTATGTTAAATAAAAACAAAACAAAACAAAATTTATAAAAAAAAAAAAAATCTTGAAGACATTTTTTTTTTTTACATCAATTAGCTAGCTATTCAAGAATCAAAATAAACAATAATTATAGATTTAATATAAATATGAATATATATCATGTGAGAATATATATATATATATATATATATATATATATATATATATATATATATATATATATATATGATTTGGATCAAATAGGACTATTGCTATAGGAGAGATAGTAGAAATCAATCAGAGCTATCAATATGGAATGATCTAAAAGTTTTAAATAATGAGGAAAACATGCAATATTAATTTTGTAGATAACTCAAACATTAAAGTATAATTATTAACGCTATAGTGTATAGTTCAAATGCCAACACCATAAAGTCTATTCGTCATATGTATTAGTGCAGTGAACTGATTGACTCTATAGTTTTGCTTAGTTGCACTTTATTTTTTTGAGTACTACTGATTCTATTATATTGTAGTATCTATTCATTTATATTTTTCTCAACCTGTTAAAGCAATTAAAAAAGAGTCAATACCGCCTCCACTGAGGCTATCTGTTTATCTATACTTAGTTGCACTTTATAGTTGTATGTAAGTGTTGATAGTTGTATTCTAAAGTTCAAGTTATTTATAGAAATGCCGTCACATTTTTTGAACAGATGTAGTTTGTTGTTCGTTTTTATAAAAAGTGAATGGATGAAGATTTTAACTTAAAAGAAAAAAAGGTGGTGACATTATATTTATGTAAATAAATAAAAGTTTGAATAAATAAATCATGTATATCTACCTAAAATACTGTGTGCTAAGTTTTTTTTTTTTTTTTTTTTCTAAAAAATGTTTATATATGTTTTTCAAAGGAATTCTTGCGTATTTAGTCCAAAATCATGCATGTTTTGACTAAAATAATATGGTTTCAATCGAAACGATGTAGGCTTATCTCAAGCTTATGCCTACATATATACAAAAATGTTACCTCCATTTTTCATTAAACTTAAGAAAATTATTCAAAAGAATCGGATGTTGTTATATTTCTTAGGGTGTGTTTGGTTCATTGATTTACAAACCAATAATGAGAATCAAAATTATTTTTAGTGTTTGGTTGATAATTTTTTAAAATACACTATGAGTTTTGATTACCCCTTTAATTAAAAATATCATTCCCTAATTAATGGTACCACCATCTTATTCCTAATATGATTTTTAAGTTTGAATTAGTGATTTTAGATTTTTGTTTTGTTCATATTGGTATTTTGGATGTCATTATATTAGGATCAATTTGTTTTATTTTTTATTTTTATATTTTTAAAATATTTATTCCCAGGGTCATACATAACCAAACAGGTAATCATTTCAATTTCACCCTACTACCAAACATGCAAAATACTTTTACCAAAACCTATTATCATGACCAAGTATTTGATTCACATCCATTTGTGGGAACCAAACACACCCTTAGTTGAATTGATTACCTGAGTAATGAAGGGAGCTTAGGAAGTAGATGAGGCTTCCTTCTGTAAATAGGGTTGGTGATCATGTAAAACCTATCAGCCCAGTCAACTTTTTGACCTTCAAAGTGGATAATGGTTTGGCCATAGCCTTCAACTTCTCCAGGCCTGAGTTTGTATACCAATTTTTCTTCTAATGGAAGGCTGTAAAATTCTTCAATTCCATTCCTAAGTTTTTCCAACAGTGAAGGGTTGACTCCATGATTCACAAGCTGTAAATTGAAGTGAGATATTATATTGTATCTCTATTCTCATGAATGTTTCTCATGAAGCTTTTCTTATCTAACCAAGAAAAAAAAAAAAAATTTCTTGATAGAAAAAAGAAAAACAAAAGAACCTGAAATATGCCCCAGTCTTTGCAAGCTGAGTTTAGCTTCTCTAACCCAAGATCTTTGGTTTCTTCCATGAGTAAAGTTTGGAGATCAATGGTGGGGATTGATGGGTTGGAGTTAGGAGAGGAAATTGTGGGTTCTTGATTAACACAAATATAGCGATTTGGGATGGCAAGAATAGGCACTTTGGTTAGTTCTTGAAGGCTTAGGGAGCTCTCTTGCCATGCTAGTTGTGGGGGTGATGAAGCCATTAAGTTCTTTTACTTAAATGTGAACTTGGATGATGCTACTACATAGAAATAATAGTAAGTATTTATAAGGAAACCTCATCCATATACAACACCAATATTATCTATAAAAGTTTTAATATTTTCATCTCCCAAATTTACCTTGGTTATTTTCATCATGTGGGTTGAGTGTCTACATCAAGAACTTATGAGAGGTAGTAAAAGTTAGAGTATAAAATGAGAGTCCAACAAGTATTTTTCATTTTGATTTGTTAAAAAGTCTATTTCCCCCCTTCAAGGTAGCAATTGTCATGTCAAATATTATAAGACTTTTAAATTGGTTAACTTTAATGTGTCACATCGAATGAACTTGACCCAAGTTATAACTTGTGGTAGTCAAAGCGTAACTTTATTTCATTAACTTGCATAACAGTCAACGTCACACTTGAATGGTACGATATTGGACTCGGCCATCCAAGAAGTCCCCGCAACAAACTAGCTTTTAACTCAATAGATAGATCAAAATGGAGTTGATTATGTAATTGCATATTGGGTGATAAATTATGCCTCAATTTAGATAGTAAATTTGGGTTTGAATTGCATATTTCTATCTCTTTCAAAATATTACAGATTTCCATCCTCTTCAACCTAACCTAGATTATTAACAAATAAAAATGGCAAAATGAAATGTATTCATTTCTTTGACTCATTACTTTTTCTTCTATAATAACTCTTTTAAAAAAAATTTAAAAAAAAATCTTAATGACATACTAATAAAATATTGGTTGCACAAAATAGTCAAATGTAGATTAATTTATAAGATTGTAATCCAATTAACAACATTATTATACCATTAGGAAAGAATAACATTTTTAAATGAATAATAGTCAAACCTAGATTATATTAATTTAAGTGTTAAAATAATGTATTTTAGGAGTTAAAATAATGTGTTTTACGTTCTGGACCACGACAAATTATTATGTAGATTATAATAAAAAATATATTTTTAATATACTAAAAATACATTATTCGTGTATTGAAAATATATTATTTAATAGTGTGTAGACCATGATACACACAATAATAATTGACGGACCACGTCCACGCAATAATAATTGGGATTTGATTTATAACAGCGAAATACGTATTTGTTTAGACAATCCATACATGGTCCCGGCCCCCACGCCCACCAGCACGATCCCTCAATTATATGCACGTTTTCAAAATGTGAAACTCATTCCAAGTCACATGTAGCCTGTGGCAGGGAGTGAAGCAAATTATAGCCAGCCGTTTTTATTTTTTTCTTCTCCTGTTTAATTAGTCAATATTTACTTTTTCATAACCAAATAATATGTTAATTATAGTTACGTAATCCGTTAATTATAAATGTATCATATAAAGTAATTTTATTAATGCTTTAATAATTTCATAATATTTGAATTGTAGGTAAATAAACTCAAAGTTACAAGCTAAGCACCTTGTTCTCAGATGGCATGTAGTGACATCTCTCATTTGGGAGGTTATGAGATTGAGCTTCAGTGGAAGCGTTATTGACTTGATTGAATAGACGCTACAATGTAATATAGTTTGTAGCATTCAAAAAAAAAATCAAAGTTACAAATTCATAAATTGAGTGTTTGACTTGTAATCGTAATTTTGGTATAATTTAAAGAGTTAATTCTATTTTTGATTCCAGATTTATAGGTGATAGTCCATTTTTTAGTCCTTTTTTATTAGAACATCCTCATTTGGTCCTAGTATTATTTTGGCATGACCATTTTTAGTCCTCAGTCAACAAAATCGTCGAAATGTCGTTAAATAAAATTTCTTTAATCTTTTTTTTTTTATACAAAGTAGGCGGCGACGGGGGGAGGCGGGGGGGACTGGAGGGCGTGGGAGAGTGGCGAGCAGTGCGTTTGAGGGGTTCTTCCTTCTTCATTGCTGACTCGCTTCAGACGTTTTTTCTTTTTAAAAAAAAAAAATAAATTTAAGGGTTGTTCGCCAAAACAATGTCGTTTCAGCGAATAACCCTTTAAATAAATTGGGTTCGAGACGAATCGACCAGCTAGGCAGTCTAGGCGTCGCCTAGCCGGTCGGCTGCGGAGGATGCCGATTCTGGCATTCCTCGGCACAGTCGGACGCCGCCTAGCGTCTAGGAGCGAGTTTTGCAACAGAGATTTTTATATTTATTTAAAAAAAATCTATAATTAAAGACTGAAATGCCCTTGTATTTAAGGATATTTAAACTATTTTGTTGATAAAGGACCAAAAATGGTCATGTCACAATAATACTAGGACCAAAAGTAGATATTCCTTAAAGTGGATTGACACATATAAATCTAGGACTAGGACCAAACATGGAATTAACTCTAATTTAAAGATATATTTGATTGAAAAGTTGCAAGTTTTTATTATTGACTTAGATATTAATTTTATAAGCATGGAGTTAATAGATTATGTAACTGCAGTGTACATATTATGTATGTACATATAGTACCAATGCTGTTTCATTTTCCACAAAAAAAAAAAAAAAAAAAAAAAAAAAAAAAAAAAAAAGAAGAAGAAGGCATCACTAAAGGCACCATTTATGTAAGTTATGAAAATATAGGTAAATAAACTTAAACCTAAATGTTTATAAATTGAGGCTCTATTTGGTAGAGTTATTTTACTATTTTTTTTTAAAGAGCTTATAACTTATTTTAAGATACAAATAAGCTATAGCTCTGTTAGATTAACCTAGAGAGCTTAAAATAATAGCTTATTTTGAAACACTCATCCAAGTAGCGTTTCAAAATAAGATATAGCCTTTTAACATTTTGTTCCATTTTTATCCTTATTAATTTACAAAAATGACATCATTTACCCCTCTTTAATCAAAATCCTAATATCTAATTTTTCCTAATTCTATTTTTTTTTTGAGAAAATTGTAATTTATGCCCCTCCATAATATGCCAATTATCAATGTCACCCCTGAATTATTAGTGGTGCAAATGTTGCCCCTCGATTTTTAAAACGGTACATATATTGCCTCTCCTGTGCTGTACATGAGGAAAATTGAGGTGCAACATTATATTTACACTACGGGAGGGGCAATATAAGTACCATTTTGAAAATTGAGAGGCAACATTTACACCACTAATAATTCAGGAGTGACATTGATAATTGACATATTATGGAGGGACATAAATTACAATATTTCCTTTTTTTTTCTTTATTTTCTTTTTCTAAAAACTCTTCTCCTCTCAGTTCTTTACCTTGTATTTTTTCTAAACATTCTTTCTCTTCCCGATTCTTTACCATACGGGTTCATCAATGTGAGAGACAAATAAAAAAGCCTCAATAGGAAATGCGGATAAATTTCAGCCGTAGATGCAATCCAAATCAATAGCCCAAATTGAATTTTAATTAAAAAATGCGCGGTCGTATATTTGTAATTTTGAGTAAATAAGTCAGCTTGTCTTTTGTATCCGAGTGCACATTTATTGCCCTTTTTCGAGTGCACATTTTTCATTCTTCAAGTGCATATTTCTCTTCTTCGAGTGCATCATTTTTATTTCAGTACTTAGTTTCTCCTTTGAATGCACATCTTTGTGCCTTTGAGTGTAAAAATTTGGTCTTCAAGTGCACGTTTTGTAGCCTTCAAGAGTGCATGTTTTCCTGTCTAAGAGTGCATAATTAGTTTACTTTGGATTTTTCCTTTTAGTGTCCTTTTTTTTTTCTCTCCCTTGCCTTCTAGTGATCCTTTTTATGCTTTTAAGTGCTCAATTTAATGCCTACAAGTGTATGTGAGTGTTACTATTGCGTAATTTTTATTTTTTATTAAAAAAAAAAAAAACTTAATTAGCATTCAAGTGAACCATATTTTTCCTTCAGTGCAGATTTTTTGCCTTCAAGTACACATTTTTATGCCTTTAAGTGCACAATTCTGGGCAGTATTTGTTATATCTTGTACATTCTTTTCAATAACATATAACTACATTTCTAATGAAATTTATGAGATTTACAAACGATTTGCATGTGTAATTGGTTTAATAACACTTAAGTTGAATAACCTCCCTTTTTGGTACCATAAATTGCATAAATTGCACATCTATTTGCCTTCGAATGCAATTTTTTTTTTGCCTTCAAGTGCACATGTTTTTTTACCTTCTTGTGCATGATTTTGAGCTTTCAAGTGCACATTTTGCACTTTTGCATGGGAAGTGGCATGCGCACCAGATCCTAAACATATATATATATATATATATATATATATATATATATATATATATATATATATATATATATATATATATATATATATAGTTTATATCATTACATATCACAAGATGACATAATATTTAATATGCTCGAGCAGCTAGCATCTAGATTACATACCGCCCGATGATCATCAAGATTTTACTTCGACTAGCTCCGGCAATAAAAATTTAAGTGAGTCAACTAGTAAGATGAAGGATATTCGAAATAATATTCTTTATTTATTATGGGATGCTAGATCATAAATGTGATACATATTTAGACTTTGAATTGCAATATATATCACTATTTAAATTTGAATTTATAAATTTATAAAAAATAGTAAATACCACCTATGGTCCCTCGAGTTTGATGGCATTGCCATCATTGCCCATCAATGGTCCCTAACTTCCGTAATTACCTTCCGTCATCCTCCGAGTTGCGAAAAGTGGCCTTCTAGTGTCCTACCGTTACTTGCTCCCGTCTGAGACGTCAAAATGGAGGGTAATACTGTCATTTGACTTATACGAACACAATCAGACATTAAGGAACACACATTAATAATTGAAACTTAAAATTCCCAATTTACTCTACTTAGAACCCTAATATCTTTCCCAGTCAAAAGAGAGGTGAATGCGAAGGAAACCTAGCAAATTCTTCAACGGCGAAGTAGCAATTTCAAGGTCAGAATTCAAGGCCAGACTAGGCCACTTCAACGAGGCCATGTGTTCTCCACAATGGCAGTCGAACGGTATGTGAACTAACTAAGTAGGGATTTTGAATTTGAAGTTATACAT